TCAGCATTTATTGAGATGATAATATGATTTTTATCTTTGAGTCTATTGATGTGATGAATTACATTTATTGATTTCCATATGTTGAACCAACCTTGCATTCCTGGGATGACCCCTACTTGATTTATGATACACTATCTTTTTGATATGTTTTTGTATTTGATTTGCTAGAATTTTTGCATCTATATTCATTAGAGATATTGGTCTGAAGTTTTCTTTCTTTCATGTGTCTTTGACTGGTTTTGGAATCAGGGTGATATTGGCCTCATAGAATGTGTTTGAAGTGTTCCCTCTTTTTCTATTTCATGAAATAGTTTGAGAAGTATTTGTGTTAGTTCTTCTTTAAAGGTCTTGTAGATCACAGTTGTCTATCCGTCTGATCCCAGGCTTTTCTTGGTTGGTAGGCTTCTGATGGCGTCCTCTATTTCCTTGCTTGAAATTGATCTGTGTAAATTGTGTGTATTATCCTGATTTAGTTTAGGCATATCATATGCCTCTAGAAATTTGTCGGTGTCTTTGATATTTTCTATTTTAATGAACTACAGATTTTCAAAATAATTTCTAATTATCTTCTGTATTTCTGTAGTATCCATTGTAATATTTACTTTTTCATCATGGATGTTAGTAATTTGAGTTCTCTCTCTCCTTCTCTTCATTAGCATGGCTAACGGTTTATCAATTTTATTTATTTTTTCAAAGAACCAAATTTCTGTTTTGTCAATCCTTTCAAATGTTTCTCTTTTTTTCAATTTCATTTATTTCAGCTCTAATTTTAATTATTTCCTGTCTCCTATTGCTTTTGGGGTTGATTTGTTCTTCTCTTTCTAGGACTTTGAGATGTAATGTTAGGTGATTTATTTGTTGAACTCCATGCAATGAACTTTCCTCTTAGCACTGTCTTTGTAGTGTCCCAGTAATTTTGATATGTAGTATTGGTGTTTCCATTTACTTTGGATAATTTTTTAATCTCCTCCTTGATATCTTTTGCAACCGATTGTTCATTCAATAGCATATTATTTAGTCTCCAGGTGTTGGAGTAACTTTTATTTTTTATTTTATCATTGATTTCTAATTTAATTCCATTGTAGTCTGATAGAATGCAGGGTAGTACCTCTACATTTTTGTATTTACTAAGTTTTCTTTGTGGCATAACATATGGTCTATTTTAGAGAAGGATCCATGTGCTGCTGAGAAGAAAGTGTATTCATTCATTGATGGATAATATACTCTATATATGTCAGTTAAGKCCAAGTTATTGATTGTGTTATTGAGTTCTATAGTTTCTTTGTTTAGCTTTTGTTTGGTAGGTCTATCTAGTGGTGAAAGAGGTGTGTTAAAGTCACTYAGAATTATTGTGTTGTGATCTATTTGACTCTTGAACTTGAGAAGAGTTTGATGAATGTAGATGCTCCATTGTTTGGGGCATATATATTTATAACTGTTATGTCTTGTTGATGTATGGTTCCATTAAGCAGTATGACATTTCCATCTTTATTCCTTTTGATTAACTTTGGCTTGAAGTCTACTTTATTTGATATGAGGATGGAAATTCCTGCTTGCTTATGTAGGCATGTGAATAGTATATTTTATCCCAACCTTTCACCTTCGATTTGTGGGCATCTTTTCCTATGAGTCTCTTGAAGGCAGCATATTGCTGGGTCTTTTGTTTTAATCCAATTTACCAGTCTATGTCTTTTTATTGGTGAGTTTAAGCCATTAACATTTAGGGTTATTATTAAGATATGACTTGTTATTCGTCACTAGTTTATTTTTGCTATTTCGCTTGACTTGGATTCACCTTTGATTAGCTTTTCTTTTATGCTAGTTCTTCCCTTGCAGATTTCCATTGTTGTTTTTCATTTCTTCCTTGTGGAATATTTTGCCAAGAATGTTCTGTAGTGCAGGCTTTCTTGCTGTAAATTCTTTTGGCTTTTGTTTATCATGGAAGGTTTTTATTTCATTGTCAAATTTGAAGCTTAATTTTGTTGGACATGAGATTCTTTGTTTGCAACCATTATCTTTTAGAGCTTGCTATGTGTTGTTCCAGGATCTCTTAGNCCAAGTTATTGATTGTGTTATTGAGTTCTATAGTTTCTTTGTTTAGCTTTTGTTTGGTAGGTCTATCTAGTGGTGAAAGAGGTGTGTTAAAGTCACTYAGAATTATTGTGTTGTGATCTATTTGACTCTTGAACTTGAGAAGAGTTTGATGAATGTAGATGCTCCATTGTTTGGGGCATATATATTTATAACTGTTATGTCTTGTTGATGTATGGTTCCATTAAGCAGTATGACATTTCCATCTTTATTCCTTTTGATTAACTTTGGCTTGAAGTCTACTTTATTTGATATGAGGATGGAAATTCCTGCTTGCTTATGTAGGCATGTGAATAGTATATTTTATCCCAACCTTTCACCTTCGATTTGTGGGCATCTTTTCCTATGAGTCTCTTGAAGGCAGCATATTGCTGGGTCTTTTGTTTTAATCCAATTTACCAGTCTATGTCTTTTTATTGGTGAGTTTAAGCCATTAACATTTAGGGTTATTATTAAGATATGACTTGTTATTCGTCACTAGTTTATTTTTGCTATTTCGCTTGACTTGGATTCACCTTTGATTAGCTTTTCTTTTATGCTAGTTCTTCCCTTGCAGATTTCCATTGTTGTTTTTCATTTCTTCCTTGTGGAATATTTTGCCAAGAATGTTCTGTAGTGCAGGCTTTCTTGCTGTAAATTCTTTTGGCTTTTGTTTATCATGGAAGGTTTTTATTTCATTGTCAAATTTGAAGCTTAATTTTGTTGGACATGAGATTCTTTGTTTGCAACCATTATCTTTTAGAGCTTGCTATGTGTTGTTCCAGGATCTCTTAGTTTAACAGTCTGGATTGAAAAATATGCTGAGATCCAAATTGATCTTCCCTTATAGGTAATCTGATTTTTCTCTCTTGCAGCCTTTAAAATTCTATCTTAATCTGTTATGCTAGGCATTTTCATTATAATGTGTCTTGGTGTAAATCTGTTGTAATATTGTACATTTGGTGTCCTATAGGCCTCTTGTATTTGATTTTTCCAATTCATTCTTTATGCTTTGGAAATTTTCTGATATTATTTCATTGAAGAGATTGTGCATTCCTTTGATTTGAATCTGTGAAGCTTCCTCTATTCCAATAAATCTTACATTTGGTCTTTTGGTGGTATCCCATAATTCTTAGATGTTCTGTTCATGGTTTCTTACTATCTTCACTCTGAGGTCAACTTTATGTTCAAGATTGTAAATTTTGGGGCTGGGGATGTGGCTCAAGTGGTAGCGCGCTCGCCTGGTATGCATGCAGCCCGGGTTCGATCCTCCAGCACCACATACCAACAAAGATACTGTGTCTGCCAATAACTAATAAATAAATAAATATTTTTAAAAAAAAGATTGTAAATTTTGTCTTCATTGTCTGAGGTTCTGTCTTATAAGTGGTCTAGTCTGTTGGTAATGCTATCTATTGAAATTTTTAATTGGCTTATTGTTTCTTTCATTTTGAGGATTTCTGATTTTTTTTCCAGTGTCTCTATCTCTTTCTTAAAGTAATCTCTTGCAACTTGTATTTGCTGTCTTTTCTCTTTGTTGGTATGATCGATGGTCGCCTGAATTTGTCCTCTTAGTTCTTTGTTGGAGTGATGGGGTTTTGCCTGTATCTGCCCACTTAGGTCATTCTTTAATTCCCAAATCATTTTAGTTATGTCTATTCTGAACTCCTTACATGACATTTCACCTACTGCACTATCTATGGATTCTATTGTTGTAGTGTCTTCATTTGCTTGGGGCACTTTCCCCCTTGTTTTTTCACGATGTCTATGTGTCTTCCTCTTATGCAGTATAGATCTGAGGTATTGCAGCTTCTTCCCTATTGTCTTATAGTGTGCCTACAGGTTCCCAATACCTCACTTTTAAGGGAGAGATCAATATTATAGCACTCAATGTATCCAACGTGCAGCCACGTATCAGTTATCTTCTATTTTTTACGTTTACAGTTTTGTCACTATAAACAGAAATGATGAGTTCAGTTATCTTCAACCATATGGCCAATAGGTTTGCGTAATGGTTTACAATTTCTGATAGTGAAAAGGGGTCCTGGGGGATTGGCTGAGATGTTTATGAGGTAGGATGTTAGAATATGGAGGTATTAGATTATATGATTAGTGAAGATAATCATAAGAATTTGGCTGTTAGTAGGAGAAACAAGAGATAGGCAACCCCATGCAAGACTCCCTGTTACCTCAGTACCAGGATAACTGTTAGCAYCCTTAGTAGAGAAAACCTCTGGTGCAGCCAGGCCACAGGGACCTTGGTGACATCTTACTAGGTCTTTATTGTTGCCTCTTGATAGAAGTGGTAATATCCCAGTTTCGTGGTGGTGGCAGCCTCAAGCCTGTGTGTTTCCTGATGTTGGGCTGTGGAGCCATGCTTTGGTGATTAAGGAACCCCAGTGCAGGGTGGCTCTCTCTGCAGGTGTGGGGTGGCGGGCAGGTGGGCTGTCCCTCCAGAACTCTGAGCTATGGTGGCATAGGCGGGCAGGTGGGCTCTGCCTCTAGAACTCCAGGTGCAGTGGCCATCCCCAGTCCTTTTTAATTTTATTTTGAAAGAGGGTCTTGCCCAGGCTGGCCTTGAATTTGCAATCATCCTGCCTCAGCTTCCTGAGTTACTGGAATTACAGACATGCATCATGGCACCCAGCTCACACTATTTAAAAAAACAATTAAGTTATAGATGGAACACAATACCTTTATTTTACTTATTTATTTATATGTGGTGCTAAGGATGGAACCTATTGCTTCACATGTGCTAGGCAAGTGCTCTACCACTGAGCTACAACCCCAGCCCTCAAACTATTTTTTTTTCATATGTCCTCTATTGTAAGTGTGCAATTTTGCAGAAGGTAAGTTTGTTTTTTAGGAAAGGATAAATTTCATTATAGTGAAAATGTGTGTGTATTTTTGCCCTCCACTTCTTTTTTTTAAAAAACGTGGAACACTTCATGAATTTGCTTGTTGTCCTTGGATAGGGGCCATGCTAATTTTCTCTGTATCATATCAAAGGTGCTGCCCACCTTTTTTTAAAATCAAGCACTCAACTTTTTAAAAAAATATTATATATATATATATATTTTTTTTTTTTAAATTTTTTTTTAAAATTTGGTGCTGAGGATCAAAYCCAGTGCCTAACGTGTAGACAAGTGCTGTACCACTGAGCCACAACCTCAGCTTTAATCCACAGTTTTTTTACTATCTGATTTTCCATAAATATATAAATGTATTTGGGAGCCAACATGGCTCCAAAAACAATACAACACTATTAACACATGTATTGTGATTTTTTTTATTGTTACTTTTGCCAGTTGCAATGTTTTCATGAATCCGCCAGGTGGCAGACAAATACAATTTCCACATAATGAGTCAACAAACTGAAAGAACTTTGCTTCCTTATGGTAATTCAATTAGAAATGTTAATCATAAAAGACTGGGGGTAGGGGCTGGGGGTGTGGCTCAGCGGTAGAGCGCTTGACTAGCATGTGCAAGGCCCTGGGTTCCATCCTCAGCACCACATAAAAAAAATAAAATAAAGGTATTGTGTCCAACTACAACTTAAAAAAATATATTAAAAAAAAGACTAGGTGTATATTTGATATATAATATACRCACTTGCTATAAATACATCAAGCATATCTGACCTTCTCATTACCACAGTATAAATGTGCTGCTTTTATGGTTAAAGAAATTTTTATAATTCACATGAGAATTTTTGTTAGAAACAAACTGTTGAAAATCATTGTAATTAAGCACCTAAATAATATTAAGTACCATGTTATCCATTGTCTTAAACACTTAGAAATGTATCTATTGGCCATGAAATCTAGTTTGATCCTTTGGAATCTGAAAAGCAAAATCAATGATGCATCACTGATAAAACAAAATCCCTGTTACTCAACTGCCTGGATTTTAAAAATTCTTTGAATATTTCTACAGTTATTTCTAAGTTAAAACCCATAGTCAAAATTGCTCATAAAAGACTGGGTGTATATTTGATCTACATACTTGTTATAAATCCATCAAGCATATCAGATCTTCTCATCCCACAGCTGTATTTCCCTAATATTTCTGTCTTCTTTTTATATTTTGATTTATTTTACAGAAAAGGTTAACAGGCATATAATTTCAGATATGTAGAGGGATGGGCAAATATTTTTAAAGCTTGTGTAAGAGGGTCACAGATATATCTGGGATTTTATTTTTGAAGTATGTGTAGCACTTCCAAGTAATGAATTCTCCATGTACATGACGACATTGTCTGGAGTGAATCTTGACTCATCTTGAATTAGAATGTTGATTTTATTTTTTAAAATTTTTCATCTTTTACATACTTCCTAAATTTAATTTGCTTCTCTTACTTGAGTTTAAAATGATTTGAAATTAAATAACTGGACTGGTTAAAAAATCCCAGCAATTCAGAGGTTGAGGTAGAAAGAYCGAAAACTTGAGGCCAGGCCTCCTTGATTTTGTGAGGCCCTAAGCAATTTAGTGAGACCTTGTCTCAAAATAAAAAATAAAAAGGACTAGGGATGCAGTTCAGTGAAAAAGTGMCACTAGGTTAAATCCCCAGTACCATATTTTAATTAATTAAATAAATAACTTGCCTGGTATAGTGAAACATGCCTATAATCCCAGCAATTTGGGATCCTGGGGCAGGAGGATCACAAATTAGAGGCCAGGGCTGGGGATATGGCTCAAGTGGTAGTGTGCTGACCTGGCATGCGTGCAGCCGGGGTTCGATCCTGATCCTCAGCACCACATACAAACAAAGATGTTGTGTCAGCCGAAATGCTGCAGTCTGGCTGGGCACAATTCAGGAGCCACTTGTCAAAAAAGAAACTAACTTTATTTTTAGAACTACAAACGCCAAACAAAACAGCTCCTCAGGAAAAACCCTCAGACCCAACTGCCACCACCGGCTTCCACAAGCCTCTCACCCACACAAGCCTCACCACCTCCCACAATCCTCCTGCTCTTGAGGCCGATTGGCTGGGTCGCRTGGGCGGAGCCAAAGAAGTCCCCCAATGAGCAGCTCCGTGGTCTGAAAGGGCAGGGAAACAGCCCAATGAACATCACCGCAGAGGAGCCAATCAGCTAGATGTTGCTGGGGCCGCTGTGAGCCAATCATCAGCTGGCAGTCTGAAGGGCAGGGAAACAGCCCAATGAACATTACCGCAGAGGAGCCAATCAGCTAGATGTTGCTGGGGCCGCTGTGAGCCAATCATCAGCTGGCAGTCTGAAGGGCAGGGAAACAGCCCAATGAACATKACCGCAGAGGAGCCAATCAGCTAGATGTTGCTGGGGCCGCTGTGAGCCAATCATCAGCTGGCAGTCTGAAGGGCAGGGAAACAGCCCAATGAACATKACCGCAGAGGAGCCAATCAGCTAGATGTTGCTGGGGCCGCTGTGAGCCAATCATCAGCTGGCAGTCTGAAGGGCAGGGAAACAGCCCAATGAACATTACCGCAGAGGAGCCAATCAGCTAGATGTTGCTGGGGCTGCTGTGAGCCAATCATCAGCTGGAAGTTTGCTGGCAGCTGGAAGTTTGCTGGGGTCCCTTTGGCTGTGGCTCTCAACACCGAAAGACTGAAAAATAAATATTAAAAAATTCTCTCTCTTTAAAAAGAAAAAAAAAAGTTAGAGGCCAGTCTCAGCACTGTAAGAGACCCTTAGCAACTTAGTGAGATTCTCTAAATAAATAAATAAACAAATAAATAGGGTATGGGTGTAGCTCAATGGTAAAGCACCCCTGGGTTCCATCTCCAGTACCATAAAAAGAAAAAAAATTATTAAAGATAAACAGTTTTAAAGCATCTTGGCATTATTTAATTATATTTATTGTTCTAATATTTTTAAAACTTTTATGGGGGTACTGGAGATGGAACCCAGGCATGCTTTACTGTTAAGTTACACCCACAGTGCTTTTATTTTTTATTTTGAGCCAGGGTCTTACTAAATTCTCAAAGCTGACCTTAAACTTGGGATCCTCCTATTTCAGCCTCCCAAGTAGCTTGAATTACAGGTGTTTGCCACCAGGGCTGGCAGTAGATCTCGTCTGTAGAAAAAAAAAAATAGTGCTGGGTGTAGCCTGTTGGTACAATGTCCCTGGGTTCAATTCCCAGAACTATAAACAAACAAAACAAACTATACACATTCTTAGAATCCACATACATGTTCTTACAGTCTTCCTTCTTTTTGATGAAGGCTGAAGTTATTTTTAAAAATATATATATGTTTTTAGTTGTAGATGGACACAATATCTTTATTTTATTTATTTATCTTTATATGATGCTGAGGCTCGAACCCAGTGCCTCACACATGCTAAACAAGTGCTCTACCACTGAGCCACAACCCCAGCCCCCAAAACTCATTTTTTTAAAATATATTTTTTTAGTTGTACATGGACACAATACCTTTATTTTATTTGTTTATTTTGTGTGTGTGGTGCTGGGGATCAAACCCAGTCTCTCATGCATGCTAACCACTGAGCCACAACCCTGCACCCCCCAACCCGGCAAATTATTTTTAAAAACAGATTTTACCAGCTCTGAAAACCACTTGGTGTTGTTTAAAAAAATAATTACAATGAGTATTTTAGAACATTGCTTCTATAAGGTTTATTGTTCGTTATTCTTTGTCATAAGAATTATATAAAGGATTTATTCATTTTCCGGCAGAAAAAAATCTATGATTTCCATAAATTTACATTATTTAAAATGCCATGTCTCTTTTCAKYACATAAATTTAACATACAAAGGGCTCTCAGTAAAGTATGTGTGCCTGATAATCTTGGTGTAATAATACTGTTCACAGTGGCACAATACTACTACTATACTCTGTATGGTGACTTTTATCCAAAGACGCTTCTAAATTCCTCATATGAGGCAAGACACACTTAGGCCTCTGATGGTCATTTCACTATTTACTCACTCGTATTGGTACATGGAGGATGGAATGTGCTATCCCTGGCACGAAGAGTTCTTCTGGAAATTTAGAGAGAATGAAATGTCTTCATACTTCAGTGACTAAAGAGAAAACACTTGTGGAAAAGAGAGAAAGCAAGTTCCAAGAAATATGTATTTATTATCTCTGTGCCAGTTTGTTGGAACTCTTTGTCAGTGAGGTCATACTTTTTGTCCCATGTAGTTCATTTATCTCTGCTAACTTCCTTAATTATAGCATGCACCCCCTAAYCCCGGCCAACTGTTTGACAAATGTCTTTTCTTGGGCAAAAGGGAGCATTAAAAAACAATTTAAAAATCTCTGTGAAATCATCACTATCATTGGAAAAAAATTTAAAACCCTTATCCAATTAAAATGAGTTAGTAGTTACAATTTTCATTTAGACACTAGTTGATAGTATATTCAAAGGCACTGCCTATAAACAGGGACAAAACCATTTCCAAATGATTCTAGATAAACAACTAACTTATCCATCTTAATGGYGGTGGTATTTCTCAAATGATTTCATGGTGTGTCAATCAATATACAGACAGAGCTTTATTCTATTTATTGGGTATTGGGGATAAAACCCAGGTACACTTTATAACTGAACTACATTCCCGGTCCTTTTTATTTTTTAAGACAAATTCTTGCTAAGTAACAGGGCTTCCTTAAATTGCTGAGGTTGGCCTCAAAAGTGTAATCCTCCTGCCTCAGCCTCCTGAGTTGCTAGGATTAAGGCATGTGACATCATGCCTGATGATAGACACTTACTAAAATACAGAAATTAGCTGTTCACAGTGGCATGTCAATAATCCCATGGGAGGCTAAGGGAGGGAGGATTGGAAGTTCAAAGCCTAGCCTAGGCAATTAAGCAAGACCCTTTCTCAAAATACAAATAGGGCTGGGGGTGGTGGTGGGGATTGTGGCTTAGTGGTAGAATGCTTACCTACAATGTGTAAGGCACTGGGTTTGATCCTTAGCAGTGAATAAAAATAAATAAATAAAATAAAGCTTTGTGTCCATCTACAGCTAAAAAGAAAAAAAAAGGGGG